TATGTAATTTCTGCTTCAGCTGTGGAGAAGAATTTAAAGATTGTGGTGCAGGTTTCTGGGGCAGCGGCAAAAGAGGAGAGCTGAGGGCCTTCTACAGTGAAGCCATTACTCCTGGGTACTGCACCCACTTTTGTGCCATGGATGCAGGGTTAGTAGTCCAGCTTTTGTAATGTGATGCCCACACATTACAATAAGTAACAACTAGCAACACCCTAACTGTACTATGGTTTGTGTTTCCAACAGATGCTACGATGACTTCTAAAAATGGATGTCCCAATAAACACTAAAAAAATTCAATGATACATCAAATGTTGTCTGAGTATGTTTTAAGGTAATAACAAATGTGAAATCTGGAAAACAAAGACAATTCCTGAATCTGTCTTGTGTGCTTTGATGTGTACATAAGTTTATTGGAGGTCCTGAAACAACTTTTCAGAGAACACAAAGATTTTTATTTGACCTTTGGCCGAGATGTCCGTTTGAAATCAGGCTGCTTACTGCAAAACCAAGAGTTTTTTTTAAGACAGACAGTCTTCATTTGTATTGTTTTGTCGACTAAGTTAAATTTAATTTCTAAAATATGGATAAATCTGATCTCATCATGCAGCATAAGCAACTGGGTATAGGTGTGAGGGCCAAAAGTCTGGTTATGTACTGACTCCTAAATGTGCTTGTTTTCTACTGAAACATGGAGTAGGGTTGACCTTTAAAATGTGAGACAGCTGAGGAAGTTAACCAGTAAACAGAAATACCTGCTCCAGTTGCAGAAATCTTACAGAAACTGACAAATCACTCATCTGTAGTGACTGCAGATTGAACAAGAAAATGTGAAGTTAAAGGAAACATTCTTTGTCCCAAGGCCAGTTTAAGTATCATTTATATTTTTCTTTCTTTATGAATCGATTGTAACTTTTTTCACATTTTTCAACAACCAAAATGGAATTTGTTTTTTAATGTTACGGCTTGGTATTTAAAAAAACCTAACATTTAGCTCTCCCCACTACCCAGTTATGTTGCTCTTATTTTGAAATGTAACCGGAAGTTCTGTGTTAAGAGAGGCGAAAAAAGAAGTTCTGGAGACGCCGCGGCAGTACACTGGAGCAATGTCGAACCGAGACGCCGCCAGTGTTGAACCTGAGACGCCGCTAATGTCGAACCGGTTAACACCATAGACATATGCCAGTGGTTAACACAATCTGCCAATAACGCCTTGTTTTTAGACATCATATGTCTGTGGTTACGGCATTTTATCGTTCAGCCTTTTTTTCTATCGTCCAATCAGATGTGGCTGGCCAGACACGCCTATTTTTTATCGTCCAATCAAATAGGGCCGGCCAGACACGCCTATTTTTCTATCGTCCAATCATATGCGGCCGGCCAGACACGCCCATTTTCATATAGTCCAATCAGATATGACCGCCCAGATACGCCTACTTTCCTATAGTCCAATCAGATATGATCGCCCAGATACGCCTTCCGAATTTTGAAGGAGGCCAGCAGACAAGTTGAATCTTATGATGTTATTTTTCCCTATACCTTCCTAACTAAGGTTTTTGTTTGTCCCTCAACTTATAAAAACACATTTCCATCACTGCCTATTCTAAAAAGCTATCAATCCCCATCTTTAACCATAACAGCTCCATATGGTCATCTGCAGGTATTCTTCTTCTAGATTCTTTCTAGGAATCATCCAAATATAGGTGTTTATTTTAAGGATTCTGCCGTATCAGAAGCACAGCCTCTGGATTGATTGACAGGTCGAATAAAAGAAAAAAAAAAGCGAGCGCTGGCAGCCTCAGCCACAGTGGTGTTCTGTGTTTATATGTTGTTAATAAAAAGATCTAAAAAAAACAGGGAGCGCTGGCTCTACAGCCCACACATCAGACCAGCACACCAGGAAATCTCCAGACCCTCCCACAGCCATGCTGGACCTGAGTTTAATTTACTCGTGACAAATTCCTTAATTTCTCACCATTTCAATCATTACATCAACGGAGGAGGAAGAGATCACTTGCCTCTTGGCAAAAAAACAAAAGAAAAGGCCAGATCAGAGATGAAGAAGGGGAATTTAATACATTGGTGTCACATACAAAACAGTCTGTCGCTGGGCAGTTTATTGTGCGACACCGCGTACGCGTATGTGGTTGTAAAAATTTGAGCTTTGCACAGACATGCCCTGGGGGGTACGCTCGTACCTCTACGTACGTACGTGCGTACCTCTGCGTATGGATGTACGCAGCAGTATACTGGGGGCTTTACACAAGCCTAAAACCGATATATTACTTCAAAAAACTTTTACACTCAATCTCTACTGTCAAAAATATTTTACAACAGGATCACTCAGTGCAGCGCCACAGAGAGGATAAAGAAAGTTCCTCTTACCTGTTTGCTGGCCTGTGGAACTGCACTGAACAACTGTGTTGATGTCCAATTCTCCAGTTACCAATCGTCCTTCTCCAGTATCCCGGGTTTTCAGCACCAAAATTGTCAAGGAAAATCAACACAACAACTCGGACTTTTCAGCCTATTCACCTGTTCCTCTCATTGGTTCGGAGATAATTGGAGAAAAGACACAATAATCAGTCAGAGAGATTCAAGGTAAAAAGTATTACCAACCTTTATTAAAGATTTCAGCTGAAAGGAGACGCTCTTACCCCACACCAACAGTGATCCAGCAAAAACCCAAGACGCGTCTGACCGGAGCTTCAGCTTCTTCTGTATTTAAACACAAAAGCTCCACCCAGAGACGTGTCACAACATTCTTACAGTTCTTTGTCTAAACTAGTTCAAACTGATGTCTTCATTTCCTGGAAGTCCTTTTATGGAGTTGTTTTATTATTTTCTTCTGCCGTTCCACTTTACTGGTGATCTTGTCATCAGGTGGGACACACACCAGCAGCTCCCTGTTAGTTCATGTCCCGTACACAACAAACTCAAATACATTATTTGACTTCGTTCAATCTGTACTTGTTGATACCAAAAGACAAGCAGATCCAAAAGTCAAGCAGATACAAATAAAGGACAAGATACAGTTGTAATACATTGAGCAATACAGCACAGCAGATAAGAGCGTCTTTACACTCCTTAGATAAACAATGTTAAATTATAATTTTTTTCATATGAATGTTTCTGTTCAGTGCCCTGAGACAACTTCTATTGTGAATTGGTGCTATATAAAAAAAATTAATAAAATTTAATTTAATTAATAGACATTTCTACGTTCTGCTAACGTAAAGCAGAAAGTGGTGAAGAATCAAACTGGTTCATGTTTTGATCCCAGCTCATCAAAAACATGAAGTTACAGTCATGTTGAAGAAAATCAAGCAGCTTTTGTTGAAACAGAACTTCAAAATAAAAGTCTGAATTCAAATCAAGCTGTCTTTCCTCCCAGGCTCTCATTGAAGTGGCAGCTTCTGTTTCTCCTCCCCCATTTTTTTTCCTTCTTCCTGCTCTGCTCTCTGTCTGTCTGAAGCACCTGGGTCTCATCTCCCGAACATAAATTAAGAAGATTATGGATTTGGTATCGTGGGCGTTCAACTCTATTGATAAGATTTTTTCATCAAAGCGACAAGGTCCTGGGGAACCGGCATGTCCAGCTGAGACTCATGCTGTGGGGTACGTCATGGATTTGTGGGGAGTGTGACAATCGGTGTGCATTACAGTACTGTCTCAAGAGGATGTTGAAGACGTTTACATATTTGGACTTATGAGAGGAGGGACTCTGCTTTTTGGCATCGGCGGGGCTCTGTTTTATCGACTTTTGAAGAAGACAGCGGGAGCAGTTTTGGCCATGGAAAAGCTTCCGTCAGTGTGAAGGTCTGGTCCTCGATGTGGGAACTTTAAATTGTCTGGTCTACGAGCTTAACCGTAAGGTGTAGGTGATTTAGAATCGCAGACCACCTGCGGCTTCTGGGACTCGTCAGCGTGGTGGGTTCGACCTTGAAGGAGACTCATAGCATGGATCAGTGAAATGAAATTCCACAATTGGGCTTTTTTGGAACCAGAACGCCCAGATGGACTCAAGGCTGAAGAAAAACAAAAATTAAGCTTATCTAATCTGGCTCCCAATGGCCTCGGAGATAGGCTGACTATCAAATTTCTCCTGGGACACGAGTACCCAAGGACAAAAGCTTCATCTATCGCTCCCCCACCCACCCCCCGAGAACTTTCTGTGCAAGCTTATCAGAACTGCTGGCTGAAAACAACATCCTCAGAAACTGTGGCTGATCTGGAAAAAAAAGCTCATGGACAAATCTCAACACCTCGATGTCAAATGCAAATGTGATCATGTTTTAATTGTGCTTACTGGTAGAGTTTTTTGATGTCTCAAATCATGTCCTGATGGACAAGATGTGAAAGATCTTTTTTTGTAATACCACTATCTACCCTCATGTTTCTCCCCTTTTCCTATCTAAGATTATTATCTGATAAGGATAAAATGGCCGCGCTCTCCTGTAGTTGCAGCTTCGTGCACTCCACCCATCTTTCGGACGACTGTACGTACATATTCGCGTTGTACCTCGGTGCAATTCCAATAAAGTTTATTCTGATTCTGAAACAAAGCAGACGAGCAACAGAAGTGTGTGGACTTTTTCTATTTCTGATCAAAACTGGTTCCCTCTGTTCCAACCCACTAACGAAGAAAAGCAGGATTTGTTTTGGGGACCTGGCAGCTATAAAAATGTGGACTTCAGTTTTTGAAACAAAAAGCAGCTGAGTCAGAAGAACATCCCTGTGTTAAATGCTCATCAATGCATTTTTTACTGTTCTGAACTGACTATTCAACTAGATTCACACTGATTTCTTTCTGTTTTTAAACAGGAACCCTTCAGTCCATCTGTGTCCAGAACCTTCTGATCAAATATCATGTTTCCATGATTTCTTACTGATTTATCCAGAGGTCCATTTTCAAACTGCTGATGGTTCTGTTCTGATGACAAGATACTCGTTCAGGTAAAATTTAGAACTTTTTATTCATGTTTTTGTTTTTTTTCCTCCAGAATGCCCACAGCTGTATGTTGATAAGGAACAGGAGGTTCTGATGGACCAGCAGATGTTGGACCAGGAGGATCCTGAACCTCCACAGGTTAAAGAGGACCAGGAGGAAGTGTGCATCAGTCAGCTGGTACTGAAACAGGAGACTGGTACCATCAAGGTGCTTCAGTGCACGTCCCAACTCGCTGCCATCCATGGAGGTTCTGAGAACAGGATGGTGGAGCATGAAGAAGAGATGGGTCCTCAGTGCAGACTGCTGGAGATCAACTGGAAACCCGTAGTAAAGTTGCACAGAATGGGTAAGTAGCACTCAGAACTATGAACATGAATGTGACCCGTGAGGATCCACTGTTGGGTTTAGTTTCAACCTCACAGAGAAAAACGAGGCGAGATGATCCAAAACGCAGATCCAGTTTGTAGAAGACACAGGAGCAGCCGAGGAAAGCAGAAGGTTGATGTAAAAACTGAAAGTTGGGATTTAACAGGAAGCAAACTGGGCAGAAAGATGAAGATTACTGGGTCAGGAAAGTCACAGTCCATGAGGGAAATGTGTCAAGTGACGGAGGGAGAAGAAGAACATCAAGAATGTAGGACTGAGGGTTATAAATCTAAATTTGGGGCAATGACAGGGAAAGGTAGTGAGCTGGCTGACATGATACTGAGAAGGAAGGTAGATGTTTTATGTGTCCAAAGCCTGGTATCCACAGGTCTGGTTCTTGTTGTAGCCTGTTGTGTCCGGTTCTGGTGGGACCTCTATTTTTCTGTCTCCACATTGCCTATAGTTCCCGTTTAGTGGGCG